TTTTTAAAATTCAGTCATTTAAAACGTGGGGTTGCATTACTGAGATGTTAGTGAAAAGACAGTTGACCCTACTGTGGAGATGGATACCAACTGCCAATCATACTATATTCAAATTCTCATTATTTTGCAATTTCACCCTATCTACAGTTTATTTAGCACTTATTATATGCCAGGCACTGTTCTATGTGCTTCATATGTGTTAATTTACTTTATCCTCATGACAACCCTATGAAGTCTCAACTGACTGTCCTCTTATTTTGAGAGAATAGATGTGTGCCTTTCCTTTGCCCTATGGTTCTTCTTTTGTATTTATGTTACATCTTTGTTTTGCCTTTGTTCTTTTGGCTCCCGTATACATATATATGCTAAAGACTAAAGTTAGGTTAGTAGTTACTAAATTATACCTATTTCTTAGATATGGGAACATCTAGTTAGTACATGTTTTGGCATAATGAATTTTATTCTGAGATAGTTGTTCTTTTAAACAACTTAATACATTTAAAAAATATTTTGTTATTGAAGATAGCAACAAGCATTTATATATATATAAATCAACTGCCAGAGGCTTATTCTAGCTTAACATGATAATATAACCATAACATATTATAATGTTTATCTTTTTTCCACATATAAAAACCTTAATCTTAAAAAAAAACCAAAAAACTTAATCTTGATTTTTTCCCCCCATTTGAAAGGCAAAGTGACATTTGCATTTTAGGATTAAATGACTAAAACAAAATTTTAAATTATTTTCTAATAGGATGGCCAGCAGTCCAGGAAGTGATGCAGCTTTCTCCAGTCAGAAATCAACGCTTTCAGAGAGTCCTCAATCAAAGAAATTTCCACTAACTGAAGAGGAGATATTTTATATGAATTGTAGAGCTGCCTATTTAACTGTTTTCAAAAGCAGCTTAGATAACATTATTTCTAAAGATCAACTTTACTTAGGTAATTGTTCTTTAATTTAAGTATTATGCCTTATTTGTTGAAAGTTAATAGATTGGAAAGACTGGAATTAGAATTACATTGTTGAATCATTCCAGTTTTCTTAGTGAAGTTTGAGGAATGGAACTAAATTATGCTATTGTGCTGTTTCATGTAACTACATAGTCCACGAGCTTCAAAATAAAACTTTCAGTGTTTATAGACTAGGTTAGTATTTTTAAAACTTCCATCAATTGCTTGCTTAAAAATATTTTTAAAATTCTTACCTTGGTATTTTAAGATTTATAATAATAGATTACAACGCTTTTGGCAACTGAATCACTAATCTGAATTTGACCTACACTGGGGAAATGTAAAGGAAAATAAAAATGAGTAGAATGATTGTAAAAGAGCAGTGTTAGGAAATTAATGAAACTTTAAAAGAGAATTAAGAGTTTTGGTTTTTGTTCTATTTTTTAGGAGGGAGGACTTGAGAGAGTTGGTCTTTTTTTGCTTCTTTCCATTATATCTTAAATTCTTCTGGTTGCAGATATCCCCCAAACCAATGAACTTGCTCCTTACTAGGTGTATCAGATAACTTGGAGATGTTTAGTCTTGAGAGAATGGTGAACAACAATAACAGATAACACTATACTCATGTCAGTTTCATCAAGGCTAATAACTTTACAAGTACAGAAACAAAGTTGTTTTGCCAACTTCAGAAGCAGTTTCCTTAAATTAAAAAATATAATATATTTTCACAACAGGTCTTGGGTTTGTATGTAATAAGATTGCTATTTGAGGAAATCCATTTTGGGAAATACAAAAATTGAAAAGATTAAAATTTGTATTTTACTATAAACTATAACTTTGTTTTTTTCTCTTTATTCTTTTGAAAATAGGCTGAGATTAGAATCTACTTAGTTTAAAAGTTTAACATGCCTTCTGCTACTATGGCATTTTGTTTGTAAATCAATTAATATGTATTACTAAGGTGCTATCAGTCTTATAGAATTATCTGTGAAGATAATGGAGTGTTTGTCTCTTCAATTTTTGGTTTTATGGTGGAATACTCTTTATAAAATTGTAATGATTAATCTCAGATAATCTAGATTTTTTAAAATTGTGTGAACCACTGATGTCTCTTTCTTAACTATTGTGCCTTTCATCTATATCCTTCTGATACTTATGCACAGAACATGCACTTTGACATTTCATGTCAAAGTAGGATAGAGCAGTACCAGTACCAGAACTTTAGAGTTCCTTTTTTCCCCAACTTATAAGTAATATAAGTGCTATAAACTGAAGTCAAAGCTTAAAGCAAACCCTGGCAAAAGATCAGTATTTTGGTATAAACCTTTAAACATCTCACGTTACATAGTGTTTACTGGACTTAATAATGGCCTCCAACTAATTCTAAAACTAAAGATTAAAGTTAGGTTAGTAGTTACTAAATTATACCTATTTATTAGATATGGAAATATCTAGTTAGTACATGTTTTGGCATAATGAATTTTATTCTGACAAAGTTGTTCTTTTAAACAACTTAACAGTACATTTAAAAAATATTTTGATATTAAAGATAGCAACAAGCATTTGAGCTGCCACTTGTGAGAAAGAGTTTTACATCTGTTTCCCAAAGCTGGACAGAAAATACCATTTCCTTTTACATGGACTTTGACTTTAAATCACAACTTCATTTTGGTCCTACTTGTATCCCCAGATTTTAAAGGTGGAGGTTGGCTGGGAATGGAACCATAAAACACATGATACCTTTTTCATGATTCTCTTGATAAATGAATTAAGGAATTGTGCATTTATACACTAGGCAGGATACTTATGTTTTATTCCTAGGGTAGCATGGTAGTTGGGGTGTTTGTGTACATCCAAAATAAACCTGTGGAGATTTTAAAAAATTATGTTATCTCCACTGTTATTAATTTCCACAAAGGCTTTCTAGGTGAATGGAAGATGGCAATTGCTATAGCTACTTTTGTTAGGCTCTGAGAGTCACCTCTAGTTGAGGATCTTGTTTTGTTTCTGTGCCAAAGTTTAAGTTATCTAGGTACAATGCACTTGCTTGATCTGGAGGATGAGAACATTTATCTTAGTCCATCAACTCCTAATATGTTATTATCATAAATCTTAATCACAAGTAGCAATTTTACACTTCAGGTATGGATTTCCCATTTAGATTATAAAACTTCTTAGGAACCAAGAAGCTTGTAACTTTGAAAATAAAAACAAATCACCCTGTATTATTCTTGTGCACAATGAATGTTCAATATGATGGGCTCACAAATGTCTGTATTTTATTACCTTGATCTTGTTTCTATTTCCTTGAGGATATTTCTCTAGTTAAATTATTTTTATATATTATTCCTTATTATATTAAATTGTAGAATATCTAGATAATCAATTTTTAATGCTGATTGACAATGTATAGAATTGTAAAATCTTACCTAAGATAGTTGGAAATACCCAATATAAAGTTTTTATAATAGAAGTTCGTAGCACAACTTGGGACAATTACACCTTTTAAAATCTTGTTGGTTTTTGTCTGTGGTGTTTAGGAAACATATTATTAGATCACTTTAGATAGTCTTAAGTCTTAATATGTAGACATTAGTCTATTTGCAAATTACCAAGTTACGTTTATTCAACTATACAAAATATCTGCAGTTGCTTAAACCATTATATTTGAGTAATAGGACATGCAAAAATACAATGCCTTTGTCAGATCATAATTCTTTGCCTCTCATAGTTATAACGGATGGCATGGCTTTTAAAATAGGAATGTCTAATGAATAACTGGTTATAGGACTATTTTTAAATGTTCTGGTTAAAAGGGAAAGGTAATTTGACCATTGCATCTCCATAATAGATGTCTCTCAAAATATGTTCACATTCTTGATTTGTAGCTGGGCCATGGCTACAAGTAAGATGCGTTTTGTGCATTATTTGACATTTGGGGCATGATTAATGTTCTAATAGCTGGCAATGATGAACATTTTAGTTATCTTGACTTATTAACAGTAATATTCTCAAATTAATGATTTGATCATTTCATTAAGATATTTGTTGAACCAGAAAAGTAATATGGTTATTCTTATGTCTTCAAAACAATTAAGTGGATGGTTGTTTTTAATCTTTTTTTCCTCCAGGCAGTTTTATGAGGTAAATCTGATATTACCAGTAATTAAACTATTTAAGTTGAGACCCCATTGCCAAAATAGGAAAAATCTATTTAATTCTGACATTAATATATGGTAATATGTATGTATATTTTCATTTTTGAAAGTCAGGCATACACTGATATCACTAGATTATCAACACTGAAGGTAATATATTGGTATATGTGTTCTTCTGTATAATATTGTAGTATATAATGATTTAAAGAAAAAATACACTTAAATACCAATTCCAAATGTTGCTATAACAAATAATACTTGTTTTATTGGGCAGCTCTTCAGCATGCAGGAAGAAATCCATCTCAAAAGACCATTAATAAGTATTGGACTCCTCAAACTGCCAAACTGAATTTTGATGATTTCTGTATAATTTTAAGAAAGGAAAAACCTACTTCAAAAGCAGAATTACTAAAATCATTTAAACAATTAGATGTAAATGATGATGGCTCTATTTTACACACTGACCTTTATAAACTTCTAACAAAGGTAAGATCTATGAAACTGTTTGGTAATATACATATTTTGCAAAACAACTTGGAATCTAGCTTTGGCTACCAAAGTCCACATAAAAAACAACTGTTTCATGGGCAGGTGAAATGAATCACATATATGTTGTTTGTAAACTACTTAAGGATCCTTCTGGATGAATAAAAGATAAAGTATAAAATTGAGACCATGTTGTAATCCTCTTGTGCTCCTTTACAATTCTTTCCTGCCCAGAACTCTTTGTAAATCAGTGATAGGTTCATATGTGATAAGTAAAAGAGAACTAAAGTATAAATGAGATTCAGAAACCATTCTGTTTTTTGATACAATGTGAGAAATATTGTTACTCTTAATTTAATAGTTATTACTGAATCTATGACATATATTGTTGAAATTTAGTAAACGAAATTCAGCACACTTTTACAAAATTTAATAAAATTGTGAAATTTTATTTCATATAACAGTTTCATTCTTGCTGGACATAATACTCATTCTGAGATTTTTAATTAAACCATGTATTCATACTTGTAGAAAAGATTAAAATTAATTTCCATTCTCCATGCATAACAAAGTGATAGTCATATTGCTTTAAAATAAATCCTCTTTCTTTCAGAGAGGTGAGAAGATGACTCGAGAAGAAGTAAATGCCATAGTAACTTTGGCTGATGTAAATGCTGATGGCAAATTTGACTACATCAAGGTACAAAAGTTCATACTGATGTGAATTTGCTTACTGTATAGAAAAAGTATTTCTAAAGGGGCACATCTTTTTAACACTGATAATGAATTATTTATATATTATGTACTAACTGGACTTGAAATTTAATCTCTTCCAGTCCCACAATTGTAATCTGATGACTACATTAAAATAATAAAAACAAGTTAAAATATATACATGTGCATACACACACACACACAGAGACTCTTCTTAGAAATATGCCTTTTCTGGAGTGGAAGAATCATAAAAATTATTTAGAACAAACGCAAGTCTACACATGTCTCGTAAAAAAAATAATAATAAATCACCTCTCTTTGTGTAACATTTTATTTTCACTCAGAGTATGGCCTCATTGAATCATGGCTGCATTTCACTAGGTCACCGAGGGTGGTCAATCTGATTCAAGAAAATAAAATGAGTAACCTAGTTCAACAGGAAATATATTCCATCTATCAGTATATCCCTTGCCTGCTAATATGCATTTTCTTTCTCTTCCCAAATGTATGATTGACTATTTTACCCACTGGAATACTTTTTGTTTCCTGTAGTTTTGTAAATTATATATGACAACCAATGAACAATGTCTCAAAACTACTCTAGAAAAACTGGAGGTTGACAGTAAACTGAGGCGTCAGCAGTTTGGAAGTCACATTGAAGAGCGCCCTGAAAGGGACCCATCACCAATACCAAAACCATCGCCTAGAACCCTAAAAAAAACTGATCAGGAATCATTCCCAAATAAAGGTATTTTTTTTTTCTTGTTCAAGAATTAAGGATCACATTCAGATAAATTTTTCCTTCCATCTTAGCTTATCAGTGGTAAAAAAAATGCGAATCCAACTTTTGCTAGCTAACATTTCTAGACTCACTTAGCTATAAAAATCTATTGAAGTAAAATTTTATTATGGAACTTGACTTGGCTATGCTCATTATATTTTATTAAAACTAAAATTTCAGGCTAAAAGGTGACATATTGAAATAAAGAATCTTATTAGTAGACCATAAATTATTGAACCATTAAAACCTGATAAATATAAAACTTTTGACTTTACTTCAATAGGAAGAACAAAGAGAATAAAATTAATACTAGACCTTTTATACTACACTGTGTTTAGAAACAGACTTCCTATTGGCAACTTTTCATAATGTGAGACTAAATAACTATTACTTTTTACAGGTGACACCAGGAGTTCTTTACTGGCAACAGCTAGAAAGTTCAAAACATCTGTTTCTTTCACGATTACCATGAGTGCTATTAGTAACCGAAATTCAAAGTTAACTGAACCAAACTCAATAAAGGTATAGTATTTTAAATGAATAGATACGGTATTTTCTGAAAACAAATTTGACATTAAGTTTATTAACTATTTGGTGTTTATAGAGAACAAGTAGTTTGTGAACTTTGAGGTTTTCTGTGGATTGCAACATTTCTTCCTCTAAGCCAGTTCTAATACAGTTTAAGTGAAAATGATGAATATTATTAAAAGGTCTTGAATTCGAAAATGATGACTCTTCAGTTTTTGAACTTGATAACTAGATTATGCAATTATGTACTTGGCCAAGCAATTTTTTTGTTTTGTTTGACAAATACTTTTCATAGATGTTTCGTATAAATAAATCATTCATTCAATATCAATTCCTTTGAGAGAAAGACAACAAAGTCACTTTGCTAAGTCAATATTTGTAGAGTGTTAATATTGATCTTCCTTTGTTTTCCCTTTCTAGACTCAACCTTTACTAGTTTTCTTTCAACAGGAAATAATAGCTACAGAAATATAAAACATTAACTGGAAACTGCTAGGATACATTAAAAATGTGTACCTAGAGACCTCTGTAAAAGGGGGAAAAATGGTTATGACCACATACTATAACTGCTGTTAGAAAACTGAACTGATTGTTCTCAAGAGCTACATTTTTGTTTCAAATAACAACTCTGTATTTGTTATTGAACTCTGAAGTCCCTTATATCTTTAAATTGCTGGACAGTGACATTTGTTCTATATTAAAATTTTAAAACATTATCTCCAAGGAATCTTGTTCAGACTGTTTAGGAATCTATACACCCTAAGCAATTTGGTGTGCATGTCCAACATGTTCACACGCAATATTTAGTGTTCCAACAATATTATTTTCTACCAATGGAAGCTTTTTGTATTTTGCAACTAGATTAAATGCTAATAAAGTCAATTTAGTTAAATAATTGTCGTTTACCTGATTCTAAAGTGTAAATAAATATAATTTTAGCCAATATAAAGAAAGTTTTAAATAAATATTAAAATGGGTTATATTAAAGCCATAGTAAAACTTTTTCTCTTTGTCATGCTCTTGTTAATCGGGCCTGCACCAATGTAGTTCTTTTAATTTAATTCAACTCAACAAATATTCATTAAAAAGGTAACATGCAAGCTATTTTGCTTACCATACTGGGCCTTGAAGTAAAAAATAAAAATTTTCATTTCATTATTAACAATATATGAAGTTGGTATAGCATAGTATTTCATTTATTCATTAATTTATTCAACAAATATTTATTGAATGACTACTTTATGCCAAACACTGTTCTAAAGTGCAGATTAAAACCTTTGAATAGAGACAGACCTGTGTTCAAATTTTAGCTTTGTCACTTAATAACTGTGTGACCTTTAATAAGTTATTCAGCAGCCCTCTGAGTTTCAGTTTTCATATCCATAAATTGGGAATCATTATGTTTAGTTCGGAATAGTTATGTTTTTGAAAAATCTATGTCATCTAACATATGTAAACCACTTAGCACAGTGCCAGAGATATAGTTTCACTTTAATAAATAATATTGTTGTTAATATTATTATAGAACTAAGAAATTACTGTAGGTCTTTATATAGGAATAACATGGTGAAAGTGTAGTTTAAGAAAAGTTATTCTTCTATTATGTTGTATGTTATGTATGGAGACCTCCAATTAGGAAGACTATTGAGAGGCTAATAGTGTCATGCAAATATAAAGTAAGGACAGCTAGGTCAAGGTAGGCCTGGAACATAGTAAAGAAGAGACAGATCTAATAGACAATGCCAAGATTAATTAACAAAAGACTAAAGTTTTGAATCTAAGGCATCAAGAGCAGGAAAAGGTAATTAGGAATTAGGTAAAAGGTAGTAGGAAAATTTAATGATTAAAAGATGGTGTACTTTCGACTCTTAAATTCTGTGACATTCATATAAAATTTAATGTCTTTTGGAAATAATTCATAGACTTCATATTAGTTACCTGACTCTTTATGTCCTTTTTCTCATCTTGATGTTGTCTACTCTCCAATGTTTCTTACATGAGCTGAAGTGATTTTTAAAAAAAATCTGGAATGCTTTTGTTATTCAGCAGGATTCAGTTCTTTGCATTTTATTTTGAAGTTATTTTTTAATTTTTCTTAAATTTTATATATTTCTTAACCTTCACAACAACTCTGAGAAGTACTTGGTTATGAATGTTGTTATTGTATAATTTGTTTAAATCGAGATTGATAGAATAAATTACTAAAAGAATTGTTAAATTAATTTCCTTCAAATACTTTAAATCTATTTTAAACAAGTTTGGGCACCTCAATTTCATGTGCAGTGGAGAAGTATGGAATTGGGGCAGAAAAGAATGTTCTTCAGAAATTAGTAAATTATTGTAATCGGGTGTGCATAAGCCAGATTTTAAACCATAAATCCACACAGTTGGTAAAAGACCTGAATTACAGGAGGGAAATACAACCTTCAAAGGGAGTATACATATATTACATTTTATATACTATATGTAGGTACTGTAGTATTATTCTTTTTCTAATCCTGAATTTTGTCCATTTACTTAGGTTTTTATCAGAAATTTTTCTTTGAGAGAAGCATAGGTTCGATTGACAGTCATGACTAAAATTAGAGAAAGCCTTGAGTTATAAGCTCCAGAGATACAACACTATATCCAGACTCCTAATTAGAATATGCCTATATATGTTGTATATATATGTGTGTGTGTGTGTCTTATAACAGACATGTTGTATATGAATGTTGTATAACAGATGGGTTATATATGTCTCTCTCCTTTTTTTAAATTGAGGTATAGGTCTATCTTTATATATAAATATTTACAAGACAAATGTAAACATTTTAAACTTGAAATTGTTGTCTAACTTAATTTTTGTGAAGACTCTAAATAATACCTTTTTTTATAAAAGTTTCTCAGATTTTCAAAATATTGATCAATTCAACTTGTCAATTAGGTGGCAATCCATATAAATTTGTCCCCTTATAAATCATTCATTTAACCTTTTTTAAAAAGTATATATAGTTTATAATTCTTTAGTAACAAAAAGTTTAATAATAGTCTAATTACCCCTTTTAACAAAAAGTATGTGACACGGTGTCTGTATAAAAAAAACAACAGTGATGATGATGTTAAAGTTCTTTCTTTGACTACGTCTGTAGCAGATCTACTGCTTAATAATTCTACCTCACTAAAACTTTAATAATGCGGAATTAATGTCAAAACAAATCATGTTCTCTACAGTGTTCCAAGAAAAATGTCATTTTACTGTGTATATTTAAGTATTTTGATAGCTATAATTTTCAACTTTACTATTTTTAGTCTGTGCTTTTAAGCAATTCCCTATACATTATGCATGAAAATAAATAAAATTTGTATATGACAAATAATTGAATTAACAGTCCTGTTACCTTTTATATAAATTTACTTGAATTAGTAGAATATAGCACCACCTTATGCCCTATATAAGAAATACAAGCTACTATTTTATTTTTGCTTTATATTATCAAAAATTATATCATATGTGGAATTTCTTAGTCTGTCATTTAAATTTTTTCTTAAACTCGGCATTCTCCCATTTTTCTCATGATATTCAAACTGTCAACTTAATCTATAACCCTTTCAAATTGATTTATTTGAATGAGCCAGCCAATTTGTCAGTACTTTTTTCTTTTAATTCATAACACTTTAGTCTAGGTCCTAGAGAAAAAACTTTGTGTGATTGAAAGCCTGTTTGTTTTAAAGGAAATTTGGGGTTGAGTAAGCACTGTGTCTTTAATAACTCTGGCAGATCTTAAGAATTTGAATTCTTCCTTTTAAACTAGAGAGCTACATATTCTCCTAATAGTGTTATTTATTATTCAAAATAATCTGATTATCACATTGAAGTTTAGTTGATGTAAATAATATGGCATTTGTCTTTCTTCCTCTTTATAATAACTGTTGTCTTACCATTTTCCAGCTTTATTAATCATGTGTTGCAGTATTCAGGTTGATTGTCTTTCCAAAAATACTTATATAGTCTCTTCTACTTGTGCCTTTTCTAGAACTGGAACTTAGGAAAGACCTCTAATAAAAATATTTAACTCACTCCCCAGCTGAATTTTATAAAGACATCTTCTGTCACCTGGAAATACCATAAGCACATGGAAAAATTCTTCCATCTTTGAGTTTCCCAAATACCACAAATCCTGTTCACTATCAGTGTACCAGGCAAAGCACATTATTTTTCAGTTTCACTTAAACATTTTTTTAACTAGGAAGTAGGAGGCTGCCTCACCCATGATTACAATACAAATTTAAGAAATTTTTTATCTACTAAAATCTACTTTTTTAAATAAGAAAACCAAATAATCATGTTTATCTTAACACTTCAATATATATATAATTCTGAGTGGTAATACTTTATCATACTTATAATAATTTCATAAACCCAAAATTTCTTTAAATATTAGCTTTAAAAAAATCATGGCAGATATTTAAGTGTGAAAAAACCTCAGAATTCTGAATATAGCTGGTAGTTTGGAATGAAAGTAAGGATGCCTAGGTTTCAGATCTGGTTCTGCAATCATCGAGAATTCTGAATTAAGCATATCACTTTATTTTTCAGACTTTCATCAATCAAAGGAGAAGTCTTCACTGAATTGCTTTTTAAACTTCTACCTTTAATATTCTGTAATTCTAAACTAGCGTCCTTTGCCATTCCAGATGGGTAAATGTAAAAAATATATTCATAAAGTATATTAGATGAAGTTCTATCTAATAATGCTATAGTAAAAATTGATTGAAAGCAAAAAATTTAATGTCAGAATCTTAGTTCAAACAGTCTCAAAGGGTAACATCTCTTAAGTTCCATATGAGTGTCTCTTTCCCTTGTTCTCTGGGGCAGTCATCGTCTTCCAAGGTTATGTTGATTATATTAAGGGCTGTTGGCTTTGAGGTAATGGCAGCATCTGTTATTAGTCCATAGTATATTCCCACTGAAGAGATTTACAGGGAACCTAAATGAAAGTCTGTACATACTCTTACTCATTAATAGTTGAACTTTTGACTCAAGCTCAAGTTTTAACCTCATTATGTTATAAAAATTTTGAATTTAGTACTCTTAGTATGTTTTCTTTTAGAAACGTGATCTAATGGTAAAAGCTTTGATCCGAAAGTACCAGACTTTACACCTGATATTTCTACAAGCTCCTTGTAAATCTCTGAACCCATATAACATGTGGGTATCTCAATTTGCCTGTTTATTAAAGTGACTAATTTGTATCTACTCCATATTGCCTCATAGGGATGTTGTTGAAATATCATATATAATGACTTGTTCTGTCATGGGAAATATTCTTGTGAAGATGAATTCCAGTAATTTAAGGTCACATTTTAATTTCTCAATTAAAAGTACACATATCTTTTATACCCCAAACGTGTGACAGTGCATGTGACTAATGGATAAGTAATAGTCAGCAATAGTGGTAATTTCTTAAAATTCAGTTTAGGAGGAAATCTCCAAAGAAAAGATTAATATAAAAATGGAAAACTTGCATAATTGAAAAAAAACCCAAAAATAAAATTAAAGGAAATAGAGAAAATGCATGTATCAGAGCTTACAAAAGTGGTTAATATATAAAAGATCAAAAGAATTTATTAAAACATGTAAGAAAAATACCAAGTCTGCAATAGATCTTTGACAATAGGGGATACATAGGCAGCTCACACAAAAAGAGACAGAATGATAAACACATGGGGAAATGCTCAACCTTGCTAGGAATCAGAGAAATTCAAATTAAGGCAAAATTATTACAATACCATTTTAGTTTATTGTATTATTTTATTGCATTAATATAAATTATTGCAAAAATAATTATGATACCATATAAGAAAATATATGAGATACTCTAGTGAATATTTTATGTACCCACACCTTGCTTAAGAAATCATCCCCAACCAATTTTTTAATGGTAACACTACATACTAAGTTATGTAATGACAAATTATTACATTATACACTATTGGTGGTATTGTAAAATTACATCACTGTTTTATAAAGCAGTATGGAACATATGTAATTAGCCTTAAAATGTACATATTTTTTGCTTTGAAGTTCTTCTACAGGATATTATTCATCAGAAGAAAAACATTTGAACAAAATAGTATTCATTTTAGCATTATCTATACTGATGAGAAATGACCTGCATGTTCAACGCTTTAGAAATGGTTAAGTAAGTAGTGGCATACCAACTCAATGGCTAATTATAGAACCAGTTAAATTGAAAATTTGAATATTGCTTAGCAAAGTTTTTTTTTATTGGGCTAAAATATACATAACATAAAATTTACCATTTTAACCATTTGTAAGTGTACAGGTCTGTTGCCTTAAATACATTCATGTTGTGTAACCATCACCACCATCCATCTCCAGAACTTTGACATCATCCCCACTTGAAATTTTGTGCCCATTAAATAGTAACTCCTTGTTTTCTCCTCCCCGGAGCTCCTGGCAACCACCGTTCTACTTTCTGTCTCTGAATTTAACCACCCTAGGTACTTCATGTCAGTGGAAGCATACAATAATTGTCCTTTTGTTTTTTGTCTGGCTTGCTTCACTTAGCATAATGTCCTCAAGGTTCATCCGTATGCAGCATGTTTCATAATTTCATTCCTTTTTAAGGTTGAATGATATCCCATTGTAGGTATATACCATATTTTGTTTATTTATTTGTCAGTTGATATTTTATATATTTGAGTCTTTGCTTTGAATTCTTTTGGGTTAGGGATCTACCCAAAAGTGGAATTTACTGGATCATATGGTAATTCTTTGTTTAATTTTGGGGAGGAACTGTCAAACTGTTTCCATAATGGCTTCATCATTTTACATTCCTAGCAGCAATGCACAAGAGTTCCAATTTCTCCGCATCCTTGTCAGCACTTGTTATTTTCTGTGGGTTTTTTTTTATTATTATTATAGTCATCCTAGTAGGTATGAAGTGATATCTCACTGTTCTAATTTGCATTTCCCTGATGATAATGTTGAGCATCTTTTCATGTGCTTATTGGCCATCTGTGTATCTTATTTGGAGAAATATCTTTTCAAGTCCTATGGCCATTTTTAATGAGGTTTTTTAGTTTTTTGTTATTGACTTGTAGGAGTTTTTAATATATTCTGGATATTATTCCATTTTCAGGTATATGATTTTCAGATATTTTCTCCCATTATATGGGTTGCCTTTTCACTGCGTTGATAGTGTCCTTTGATGCACAGAGGTTTTTTAATTTTGATGAAGTTTATATATTTTTTTATTGCTTGTGCTTTTGGTGTCATATCCAAGAAATCATTGCCAAATCCAGCGACATGAAGCTTTCTTCCTATGTTTTCTTCTCACTGTTTTGTAGTTTTAATAACTTACATTTAGGTCTTAGATCCATTTTGTGTTAATTTTAGTATATGGTGTAAGGTAGGGTCCAAATTAGTTATTGTACACTGGGATATCCATTTTTCCCAGCCTCTTTTGTTGAAAAGACTCTTTCCCCCATTGTTGTCTTGGCACCCTTGTTGAAAATCATTTGACCATATATGTAAGACTTTATTTCTGAGCTATCTCTTCTGTTCCATTTGTCTATATATTTGTCTTTATACCAGATCACAATGTTCTGATTACTGTAGCCTTGTAGTAAGTTTTAAAATCAGGAAATATGAGTACTCCAACTATGTTCTTTTTCAGTAGCACAATGTTTTGGATATAATATTGAAGGAAAAAGGCAGAACATAAAATAGTGTTAATTAGAATATAAAAAATAGGTTTGTATATAAGGCCAGAATTAGAAATGATTACATAAAAATCAAACTAGATTGGTAGAACTATGGGGATTTTTTCCCCTATTTTTAAATTTCTAATTTTAAATGTATTTTTGTGCTATGAAAATAATTATAATTTACATAGGAGAAACATGATGTGTAAGTATATGTTAAGATAATTTAGCCTTTGAAAAAGTGAGATATCAATCTTAATGTAAATTACATTTGTTCTTGCCTTTTTGGTGCCACAGTGATAAATCCTTCTACAGTGGATTAATAGTATTTTTGATATTATTATTATACAGCATAATTTTGCTATTTCTGTTATACAGCTACTGCTTACCTTTTCAGTAATCTTAATGTTATTAAAGCCTTGAGTTTATTATCTAAATATAGATAATTTTTCAAAATCATCCTTTATAAAATCAAAATATTAATATTCTATTTTGGAAGTTATTAGGAGTAGAACAGAAATAAGTCTTATAGGTAGGCAAGGCTGCTAATGATAGAGTGGAAAGCATTTTGCTCACATCTATGGTAATGGAACAATTTCTCATACGTTCAATAAAAAATCTTTTACTTTTTGCTAAAGCTGCCATCTTCAAGTAAAATTTGTTATGAAATTCTAGTTGTGAGATTCTATACGGATAAGTTAGTTTGGATTAGGAGGAGGAATTTAAGACCAAGAGATAGTACAGCCAATTTTATAGAATTCTCAGAACTGATATTTATCAGCATTTTGCTATGACCATGAAGTTTATTGCCTTCTTTTAGTTGCCTGGACTTGAAATACTTATTTTGGTTTTCACATACTTTATCTTTTAAATACCAAATCCTATCACTTTTTCTTTCAACATATCAGTCTTAGCAGTACTTACTCCTTCATTCTTACTATGCTCTAAGCACTAATTTCACCCTGATTATTGCAGCAGTATGTTTATTTATTACTTTGTTTCAGTACTTCTCCCACTCTCATCAACTGTACTTTTTTCATATTTTTACTCTCCATTATGTCTTTTCCTAACTTTCTGTTATCTAATATTACTTCTTAATGATGTTGCAAATTCCTGGAGGGCATTAGCTCTATGTGACATTTCTTTTATATCTTCTCTAGGTTTCTCCTCAAGTTATGCATGCTGGAAACTTTTAATAAATATTGTTTGAATTTTTTTTCCCTTCGTTTCAGGAGTGGCAATGTGTGCATTCAAAAGGTTGCTTTTTCTTGGAAGAAGATGGTGAAATCATTAGTCATCAATACAAGATGCAAATAACTCAGAGATCCATGGTTTACCTAACAATTAAGCCATTAAACCTGAGTCAAGCTGAAGGCAAGTTTAAATATTCTGGTTTTTTTTTTAAATATCAATTTATGCCCACTTTGGAAATACTTATGTAAGTATTTGATGGTTCTAATTAGTGAAGAAAATAATCTGCCTAAGAAACATGTGGTTACATACATTTAAATAAAATCATTTATATTGACTGGTTATTGTATTATGCAAAGCAAGTAAATTGTTTTTGTACAGGTTTAAAGTATGTTTTATTTTAACACCTTAAAAACAAAAACAGAATGTTACATGGTTTCCTCTTGACATAGAATTAACTTTTTATTTGCTAATTAATCCTTAGCTCTTTCCATTTATCAATTTTTTATGATGTATTTAAGAGATCTTTTGTAGGAACAAAGTTTGGGACAAATATGAACTGCAAGTATTTTTGAATACCTTCTAAGTCCTATGTCACATGACTTAGACACTCTTTATTAATAATCTTTGCATTCATGGTAATGTTCTTTTTTTGATCAACATTAATAATTTCCTAGAGTTTAAAGTGGTTATTACATAATGTTTAATTAGTGAAAAATGGCTTTATGGGTGTTTTCCCTAGATATATTTTTTAATGATTTTTGGGGAGGGAGGGAGGTGGGAGATGTAATCAGGTTTATTTATTTATTTAATGTGTTAGAAGGTGATAAGTGCTATGGGAAAAACAGAGGGAAAGGGGCATTATGAATGCTGAAGGAATATAGATTGCCACTGAAAAGAGGTGGTTAGTGTATATTTCATTAGAAGTTGACATTTGAGCAGACTTTGAAAGAGATGTGTCAGTTATCAACTGCTATGTAACAAACTACCCCAAAACTCAGTGGCTTAAAACAGTTAAACATTTGCTCACGAGCAGGTCTGCTGGACAGTTCTTTTGGTCTGAGCTGGGCCTGGTTTTTCTTTGAGGGCTCACTTATGTATCTGTGATCAGCTGCAGGTTAGCTGGTGGTTGGCTTTAACTCATCTTGCTTGGGCTCGCTTCTCTGTATGAGTCTCAGCTGAGACCACTTGATTCTGCCTTGTATAATCTCTTATCCTCTAGTAATTTAGCCAGGACTTGTTCTTATGGTGTAACAGGAATTTGAGAGAGAAAGCAGAAGCACTGTAGGCCTAGACTCAGAATTGGCACATTACTTCTGTTACATTCTGTTGTTCACAACAAGTCACAAGGCAAGTACAGATTTATAAGGTGGAGAAATAGATTTGATCTCTTGATGAGGGAGCTGTAAAGTCACATTGCAAAGGGCTGTGGATATATAGAGGGACAGACATTTTTGCTGTTTTCCATAGGTGGCAAGGGAGTAAGCTTTGTGGATATAGGGGTGGTGGAAGGGATGGGTGAAAAGTGGAGGAAGTGGCCAGTGGAGTCTGTTCAGAGGTTCTGACGTGACAGTGTGCCTGGTGTTAGAAGAACAAGGTGGTTGGAGTGGCTAGGTTGAAGTAAGTAAGGAGAAACCAGCAGAAGATGAAGACAGGGAGAAACAAGGACAAAATTAGGTAGAGTTTTGGAGTGGGCTTTTTTTAGTGGTGTTTCTTTGTTTGTTTGTTTTCCAAAATAGGGACTTGGGCTTTTACTCTGAGAGAAATTGGGAACTCTTAGGAGGCTGCTATCAAGATTTTCTCTTTGATTTTCAATAGTTTGAATGTTTGTCTAGGTGTTTTTCTGTTTTTCTTATTGATGCTGTTGAGTTTTTTGAGAAGGTTGTTGTTGTTGTTTGTTTGGGTATTTATTCTGCTAGGGGCTCTCTGAGTTTCTTGGATTTATGCCTTATTGTCTATCACTATTTTTAGAAAATTTTACATCTTTAGTTCTTCAAATATTTCTTTAGCCCTCTCTCTTCCTCTTACAAGCCTGACATCTTTTTCTCTGTGTGCCACCATGGAGAAGCCAGTGCTTGCATCTTCTTTCTCCTTGAAAGTGTCTCTTTCCTTGGATTTCAGGCTGCCTAGTTGCCCTGTGACTTCAGCTCTGACTGGTTCAAGAGATGTTATGATTTTGTAGTGCATGTATTTTCTTCTTATTGTTATGGTGGGAGCATCATTCTTCTAACTCTCAATTCCTTTAGAGGATTCTAAGTAGATACAGGACGTAACCTGACTTGTATTTTAACAGGAGCAGTCAGATTGCTTTATTGAAAATAAATTAAAGGGTACCCAGGAGAAGGCAAGGAATCCAGCTAGGACTCTATTGAAGAATTCTAGAAGGGAACTGATGTTGCTTTGAACCAGGGTGTACAGGGAATAAGAAGTAGAGATTCTGGATATATTTTGAAGGTTGAACCATAGGATTTTCTGAGGATTGGTTCCTGATGGATTAGATTCTTGATGATATGTGAGAGAAGGGAAAATTAAAGATGGTTCCAGGATTTTGAGTTTGAGCAGCTGGAGGGAATGAGTTACTCTTACCTGAGACAGAGAAGAGTATCTGAACAGGTTGGTTTTTTTGGGGGGGCGGGGATTGGGAAGGTCAGTTTTAGATATAGAAATCCATGTGGAAATGTCAACTAGGCAGTTGTTCAGAGGAAAAGTCCAAGCAGGAGATACAAATTTTGGAGTGACCAGTATATAGATCTCGTCTAACATCTCTTCCTCCTTTGCTCCTTCACAGGTAAGCCAGTGCTTGCATCCCCTCTCTTCTTGAAAGGTTTTGTTTTTCCTTGGATTTCAGGCTCCTTGCTTGCCTTAGACCTTGGCTCTCTGATGAGTTCAAGAAAAGTTATGATTTTTAGAAAGTGTGTATATAGAGACTGTTTCTAACAAGGTCACTGTATAGAGGAATGTGCCTTATTGCAAATGCTATGTTTACATATAAAAATGGGATGTGTATTTCTAAACTAAAATCGAAATAGAAAAGAAGCCACTAACTTCTTTTTTAGGTAGGAAAGACTAAGTGGTGACTGCTTCTTTTAAGACGTTTGGGTTTTCTTGTTTATAGGAAAACCATCCCCTTGGTTATCAGTTGATACTGTCTTGTATATTCTTAAGGAAAATGAGAGTCAAGCAAATCTACAGCTCACATGTTTTACTGAACTACGAAATAGAGAAGTATACAATTTATTTTCTTATGTTTACTTAAAGTATAGTATGATCTCAAGTTTGAGGAGAATAATATTTTCTATGTATTTTTAACTTTTAAAATCTTCCCTTACAATTAAGGTACATACAATACTTAAAACACTATTCATATTATATATGTTTTATTCATTATGAAGACTTTTTCTTACTTGCTGAGATTTAATAATTGAGGATTGATAGGCAATCTTGGCTTCATAACGTGCAGGTTGTGTGACATTGTACTTCACTCTCCTCTTTTTTAAATGCCCTGATACCCCACATGTGAACATTTTTGGGTTATACTCAGTAGGAATGATTGATGCCAGTGGATTTTTTTCCCTAAATACAAGCAATTCAAGACTTTGAAAAAGTTCCTTTAGATGTTTATCTTACCTCTACTACTGTAAAAAGAAAAACTTCAAAATTACTATCCTCAGGCTTGACTCATATTATAGCGTCCAAAAATAAATTGATCTGAAGAAATGCTTTAAAATGATTTTATATGTTGCCCATGGGGTTGTCGTGATCTTTTCTAATTATATATTTACTCAGAGGCCAAATATGTGAGGCAAATACATAAATGTGGCTATTTATTTTATGAGGACTACAAAATACATCTGCTACACAACAGGAATAATACTATTCAAGGGCTTACTGCAATATCATATTTAATCTTTATACAGGCCCAACGACAGACAAACCTTTCCCTGATGGAATGTTATATAAAAGTCTTTATCGTAGGCTTCCTAACAGACAAGAATAGTTACAGCTAAGAAACAAGTAAAATGATAGAAGTTAATGTTTTCACTAGACTCTTCTTCAGAACTGACCACAAAGTGTATCTTTTCCAACTGTGTTTTGGTTAAAATTATTTTCGTATGAGATAGCATATGTAAAAACGTTAGTACATAGCAAGCCAATAATAAAATTTGAAAGAGTTTTTATTTGCCTGTTTACTGTGTAGGCCTCTGTTTATCTGTAATATGTCATATTTACAAAGGATTTTTAGTTTTAGTGTTAGTTTCACAGTTATTTTCTCTAGGAAGAGTGTTGTGCCCATGAAAGACTTTCCATCTGCCAACCACAGTGGCAGTTCAAGGTTATATGTGGAGATAAGGGAGGGTCATGGGATAACATATATTAGGAAGCAGCAAGAACTGCTTTTCACTCCTGGATATCACTCTACCTCTGGGCAGTCTAAAAGATTATGGTTTCCAAAGGACGGTTTGGGTCAATCTTTAGTCTTCAAAATGACCCTCACTTTTATTGGGTTGCTTCTTGTATCAAAATAGGATTAGGATGTGGTCACTGTAGGATGATTTATGGTTCCTCTGACTTTTGAGGGCAGAATAGGGCTGAACCCAGAATTTGGATGAGCAACTCTGTTTTGTATATGAGTCCCTAGGATGACCTAAAATATACCTGAGATTTGAAAGGAGTTTTTGGACACAATACCAGACAGAATTCCCTAGGGTTACTCTGTGCCGAAGGACAAGTAACTATTAGCTTAGATATTATACACGACTAGAAAATGCTTAGGCTTAATATATTTGACAGTGGCAACCCCTCCTTTTCATAGGAAGCCATTTGGCTCCAGAAAGCACCTAGAAGTTTGATAGAGGGATGCCATTTTGTTCTCTTTTATAGAAGAGGAGAATAAAATTTTTTTCTGTACAAATGTCTTGGCATTCATAAATATCCTGTAATGAAAAGATTTTTGTATAAAGTAGGTTTATCTGAACTCTGCCATCGTGTTTTATCGTCCATATTACATAGATAATAGTAAAATTCCAGTGCTTTTGTCCACATAATTGGATTTTTACAAATATGGCTAATTCATACAAATAGTGAACTCTTTTAAATATATTTAATTTTTATTTTGTAACATTGAAATCTGACTAGAGATCATATATTTATATTTGAATCAAATTGGGCAACTGTAACTTGGAAAAATTACTCTAAAATTTTTCTCTTTTCCTGTTGAAATATTTGCATCACAAACATTTTTGAAGATTACTGGGAAGATTTAGAAGTTATATTACTTCTTACCTGTTATAGTTTCAGGCATTTGTTTTTAAAAGATATAAAAAACCACATCTAATATTACTAGGCTTAGCATTAACAAAAAGATTTTGAAGCCTATAAAATGTTGATAGAACCATAATAGAATTGGTGAACATAATAGAATTGGTGATAGAACATAATAAAATCGGTGAAAAACTATTCATAATGCTCCCTTTTCATAAGAAAGATGATAAGTCATTAAGACTCATGGTGGTTGTTTGTTTCTTTTTAAAATTCTTTTGAGAAAAGGTGTTTGGGTGGACTGGTGAACTAGGACCTGGAATTTACTGGTTAATTCCTTCCACAACTGGCTGTAGGCTAAGGAGAGAAATAAAACCAATAGCAGAAGAAGCCCAACTTGTGTATAGAGATGAAACAGGGGAATTATTTCTTACAAAGGAATTTAGGTAAGTTTTGTTTATTAAAATTAGAAATATAACATCTAGACTGGATGTATATCAGTAGCCTGTCTTCCATCCTTTCCTTTGGCTTGCCACCACCCCCACCCCCATATTCTAATCAATAGCTCAACTCATCCACTAGGCATCTAAAAGTAACCTTCTATTCGTGGGTCTGAGGTTGCCATTCATTTCTGGGTTCCATACGTTCAGCAAGTCAACTTTAGTTACATACCTATGGATTTCTCCCCGACTAGAAATAGATACTGCTAGGCTCACTATTGACTTAGATAACTGTCAGATATGAAGTCCAAATGCTCGGGTAGTTCTCCCATACCCTAGATATACACGGTAAGATTGGTTGCAGGTAGAGAGGAAGAAGAAA